TTAAATTATGTAAATTAATAATCTTACAGTCATTGTAACAGGGAAAGGCAGAGATATTCAGAAGATTAGAGTAGCCCGCATTGCATTGACACGTGTGTGTATACGTTGAATTCCTTGTGCAGCTTCCTGATCCACAGTAGACCCAATTGCAGGCTATACAAAACGAATAAATAAAAAGGTTAAATTGTTAAGTATTAGAGAGTTAAATTAATCAAGATTCTACGCTATATTATGTTGCATATTATAGTGCATTTTTAAAAGGTCTTACAGAAATAAATTGTTTGTTTGTATGAAATTAAATGGATAAAAAATTGAACCACTACAATAGCAATATTTATATCGGTCAATTTTCTTTTATTCAGGAAATACCTTGGTCAAATATAAATGACAAAATTGCATTAAACAAAAGCAATATGTGAGATTTCACAAATTCTTGTGTGAGATGACTTAACGAGACGAATGTTCTATATCGATAAAATATTCATTGTTAGACGGATCGACCCGTCATATATTTATAATAAAAATATATACTTATATTACAAAATATATTGTAAAAGTTTGGATTAGAAAAATTACGATCAAATGAGAAGTTGTGTGGAGTTGCTGGTACTGGAGGAGGGGCCGGCATGCATGAATACTCCAAAGAACCTTCATATAACAAAATAGAAAAGAAAAAAAAAATATAATTTAGAATATTGAAACAATATATTTAATTTTAAATTAAATTTTGTTACAAATACTGCTCATTTTAGATAATATGGGAGTTTACAAGAAAGTGTCAAAGAAAGTGCGGAGTAAGCAAGCATGTAATAAGTTATCTTATTTTCTTCTATTTTATATATTTTCTAATTATACTATTTATCTTATGCTTTGAACGTTGACCCTCTAGCCTAAATCATAAAATATTTTGAAAAACCTTACTAGCTTGACTTTATGAAACACAAATGAAGAAAAAATATTCTTTTTTCTTTTCTTCCTCCAAAATTCATATCATCATAGTTGTATTGTGTGTGTATCGTGTTCGTGTTTTTCTGTGCTTACTCGTGTCAATCATGCATCAGAATGAAATAAAAATAACAGTAAATTAAAAAAATGAAATTCCATCCCAATTCATATCGTTTAAAGGAAAAAAATTGGAACTCATGTCAATCCTGCATCTGAATGAAACACAAAATAACAGTAGAAAATGAAAATTAATTAATCACAATTTATATTATTTAAAAGAAAAAGATGGTACGATCGTACAGTCTGGAATTACGCATGGAAGAAACTCTAAGTCTTGCTCGTCGTCATCCTCAAGTCGGGTTCGTCTCCACCCATCTTCACAATCGCAAGTGAAATTAAAAGGGTGGCCTTGGTCTGCCACACATCTACCCCTTCCACATTCGACTACGTTACATATATTCTCTGCAAAATAATCAATCCTTATTAAAACCACGAGTAAATTAACCAAAAATATTTTAATATAATAATCTAACAATCTCGGGATATGAAGTTTCGCTCTCTATTGGATAATCGGCATGTGTTGGTATAAATGATCATAAACATATTATGCTAAAAATGTGTGCTAAAAAAATAGAATTATATTAGAGAAAAAATAAGCTAAAAATATAAGATGAGAGAGAGAGAGTAGTAGTTAAGGTACCAAAAAATGGAGAAAGGATTGGAGGAATATTATTGTCTACTCCTTTGGTTGCTAAGGGCAGCAAAAGCAGCAAAATAGCTACAAATGTTTGACAATTACTTGGAGCCATTTGTGAGAGTGCGTGTGTGTGGTGAATGGTTAAATTAGGCAGTCATATATATGGACATATATATACATAAATTATAAATTGCGATGATTGCAAAAAGCACCACAAGTTTTATCAAATTATCGAAAGCACCCCAAGTCAGGTATTCACGTTTTCAGACCAAATAGAAAATTAATGAATTAGAGGAATTAGAGAAATTTAATTCACGTTTCCAAANATATAATATAAAAATTCTAAGTTATATAATTGTATTATATTTCAAACATATAGTATTATAAGTTATATTTATGTATATAATATAAAAATTATAAGTTATATAATTGTATTATATTTTAAAATTTGATCATTAAAATAAATAGTACAGACGATTTGATTGTATACGAATCACTCTATTGACTGCATAAAATGCAATAAATACATACATTTTATAATTTTGAGTGATCATGACCAATTAATTAGCTGAAAAATATTACATTTATTATAACAATTGCTTATGTGATTTTAAGAAATTTTACTATGACATAAAAAAAATTAATTTTTTAATAAACAACATCTTCATCATATAAAAAAATATTGATTTTAGTGTAAAATATAAATTTATGTAACTTTCAGATATTATTTAGTATAAAATATAATTACTAATTTTAATATTAACTATTATATTATTCAATAAAAAATATAATTATTAATCAATTAACATAAAATATAATGGTTTTTGTCTTAATTAACCCAAAAAATGTAATGAAATATTTTCTTCTTAATGAGATTTGGTGTATTAATGCCACATAAATAAAATTTATTAGGTTCTATTTATTAGGTTTTATTAATGATTTGCCACATAGGTAAAATTTATTAGGTTTTATTTATTAGGTAAAATTTATTGCTTAGCTAGCAATTATATATATATAGATATAGATGCTATTAATTATCTACATGCAAATACTTTATTCATTATATCAACTAATTTAATCTAACTATCTAACAGTGTCACATACTCTATACTCGCTAAGATTAAGTATATTTATATTTTCACATATGGGATGAGAATTTGTAAAATAATAATAATAATAATAAAATCAAACTTCTTGGGTCTTTCTGTAATATTTATAAACTCATGTATTCCTTTTCAATTACAATTTATCCAAACATCGAGGGTTTAATTTGTAAAATTTGAAGGTGTGCATAGATTGACTCTAGTTTAGCAGAACCTTCTCTTCAACTGCTCTATATTATATTGGCCAAAGCTGTCAAAGATTTACCACTAGTCATTTTTCCACCACTATAGTTCACATTTATTTATTAGTTCTAAAAATGTGACCATTTTTCTAATTAAGTAGCTAGATAACAGTGACAACCATTAAATAAGCTACTGATCAACATATTGATGTGTAATTAACTTGTTAATATTTAATTTGACTTCATACAATAGTTGGTTGGTAGTTAAATGCAAGTCTTAGATGGACAGCTAATTTTTTTATCCCCCAACAACAGAACTTTCTAATTGATGTTTAAAAAATTAAAATGGAAGTTTGGCATGTCAGGCCACAATAATAAGGAATTCAGGGTGCAAACAAGACTCTGTTGTTGAAGGGTAATTTACCAGTGAATAGGAAGGCCAAACAAGACTTGCCTCTGGCAGAGATTCATCAATTTTGGATGAAAAAGTGTGCTCAAGGAATCTCAAAATCACTGGTGAAATGTATATTTGAATTAAAAATCTACGGAAAACAATAAAGAAAAACTAATATTACTAGATATATTAAACGGCATGTAATAATAGAATATATAAGAGACGCTGGAAAAATGCATCATTATATAATTATATGCCTAGACGCTCTTTAATTTGTCTGTCAAACATATTATAAGACCTGCTCTTTTGAACAATTTAGATAGTGGTAACTAAAAGCTTCATATATCTTTTAACACAAATTTCGCATTCTTTGTATTAATAAACACGAGAAAGTCATACAAATTAATTTTCAACGTATCAAATGAAATATAGTAGATTACAAATCTTTATTATTATTCTTATGATTAATTTTTTCAAGAACGTTCTTCAAATGGATTTGAGACTTTTGGAGACGGATCTTCTGTTTGATATCCGACGGTTTTGAATTTTGAATTTAAATAACGTTTCTTCAAGAGTTTGACAGCTTGATTCGAATCGAACGTCGTAATTTCCTAAGAAAGTGAAGAACACGAGCCCTTGGTTTTCGGCGTAAAGTTGATCTTAGATCTTTTCAACGTCGGTCTTGACTTTAATAACATAATTCGGAGGCTTGACAACTTGTGTCCGGATTGAACACCTAAAGTTGATCTTAAATCTTCTCTACGTCGGTCTTGACTTTAATAACATAATTAGGAGGCTTGACAGCTTGACCGCGCGTCGCAACGCAGCAAAATTAAAATTTATATTTTTTCTCGACTAACCTCTACTAACTAGTAATAGTGGCGTGCAAGGGCCGATCTCACGAGAAGTGTGAGTTAATTTGTGATATTTCTCGTAGTAGCTGAAATTAAGAAAGCAATAAATGAGGGGGATTGGATTAAAAACTAAGATCCTAATAAAAAAAAATAAAATCTAAACAATCAAATAAAATAATAAAATAGAATAAATAAAGAGAGAAAATCTAGTTCGTGGTTTTGTCTATACCATCGACCGTTTCGTCTAATCAACTTTGGTATCAAATCTCACTATCTTATAGAAACTTTAGTATCAAATCTCGCTATTTTATGGAATTCCTAGTCCTATGTAATGACACGGTCTGCTACCCAAATTTTTCCTTACTTTTAATTTAACCGCGAGACGCTCTATAACTAAACCTGATTTCTTGTACAGTCCAGAAAAACGTTTTCAAGATTTAATACAATTAGCCGCTTTATGAATTAGAAAAATAGACTAGACTAAGTAGTGAACTCAACATCGTTCGTTCATTTAAATAGGCCGTGTTATCCTCGGTAGTTACCATCTTTCGGTTACCTCTCATGAATCAAACACAACAACAGTTACAGATTGAATGTCTAATTCTAGCTATACATATGAAGAGCATAATCTAGGTGATCAATCTAAATAAGACTTAACAAATCTAAGTTATTCAGTCAAAATAACACGAACAATTCCAAAAAGATATTGAAATTATCAACCATATAAATTAATCAAAACATCGTCAATCGTAGGGTTCGACTTCCTGGGAACTAGAGATAAAAACTACTCTAACATAATAAATAATAAAAGAAAGAGAATAGAACTATCCCATTTTGTGTACGGGTGCGGTCTCCCTCCGCGTTTGATCAGGTTTCTCGCGTTTTTCCTGTTTCCGTGCATTCCTTATGCGTGAATATCTGTTGCTGCCCGCTTGCGTGAGTGTATGGCGGCTGTTGCGTGGTTAATCTTCCTTATGTTTTGTGTGAGTCCATTTAAATAAATCCTATGGATGATGGGTGGTTACTTCTCAAAGTTGGTGGCTGCGTTCCTTTTCCTCAATTAAGTTAATAGCCCAAATTGGGCTCAATTAACCAATATTGGGCTTGATGGCGTGAATGCCCAATTTCATGTCTCTTTTTATTTAATTATTCCACCGCTAATAAAAATAAACCATATAAATATCATAGCACTTGAATTCATCTAATAAATAAATGAGTCGAAAATATATAAGTGCCATAAAATTAAGCATGTAAAAATATACTAATAAATATATAAAATACACATTTTTTTTTTTCGACTAATCACAGCTTGTGTCCGGATTGAACGCCAACACACTTGAATCTTACTTCGAATCTTCAAGAACGCTTTTGAATCTTCAAGAAGACTTGAATATCATCGAGAGAATTCTCTAGAGCTGTTGAACTTGAATATGAATTGTGTTTTTTACCAGCCCCTATTTATAAGTGTTAGAATAGAGAGTCTTGAAAAATAAGTATTCAATTGGTCCATGAATTTCTAATATTTATCTCCTTAATAATTATTTAAATAGATATTATATTTTTATATTTATCTCTTTATTAATTATTATTAAAAGTAATAATTAGTTGTCTTATTCTCCAAGAAAGTGACAAGTGGCATTCTTTAATTGACCAACAATATATATCAAACACTTAATCAATTAATTAACTATTTAATTTAGGAATTAAAATTTAATTAATATATATATATATATATATATATATATAAGAATAACCATTTACTGAAAATAGTAGTAAAAAATTTTGGAAACATTTAATGCATACCTTTTTTTAGAAACTTATTAAATATATGTATTAGATGCTTTTATATACATATTTTCAAATAAGATCAAATCAGATATGATAAAAAATATTATTTTTTTAAATAATTTATTAATATTTGTAATAATTTCATTGATATCCATTATTATAAATTATACTATTGATTTTTCGTTATTCATGTTGATAATATTTTGGTCAAGATAAATATTATAACATATTTTAAGTTCTAACTATATTATTAATTTTTTATTACACAAATATTTATGGAAAATCGTAACAAGTTAGGTAGAACTTTTTCTTCCAATTAATCAGGTGAAATCAAGTTAGTGAATTAATTTTTTCCAGTATAATTTTTTTTAAGTTTTATTTCGTTATATATGAAAAAATAATTTATTTTTTAAATTATTATAATTTACCATTTAAGAAATAATGACCAGATACATTAAATAGTTCTACTAATGATCAAAAATTAAAATTGAATTTTTTTTTCCGTTCTTTAGAATTTATTTGTATAATATTGGCGATCATGATTTTTTTTTTTATTTTAATTTCTTTCTATAATGAAGTTATTGTAAAATAAATTTTCATTGTAGAGAATGCTAAATAAATTATAAATCCTTATAACGCATATTAGAAAAATCTTGATTATAGAAGAGATTGAGTTTTTGACATTTGTTAAACCAAAGTTGTTTACAATATTTAAAATATTTATACAATATTTAATTTTAAATTTCTTTTGCATGTTCTTTTTTTCAAAACTATAGATAATATTATAAATCAAAATGCACAAATGTGCGAATACACAACCCCTAG